CTGATCCAATTGAGACCACATTAAACTAGTAATAGTGCATGATCAAAAGGGGTATCTGGATCTACTTAATAAAATAGTTATGGTTTACAATGCATATCCTCGAAAGAAGAAAAAAGCCCAGGTGGGGGGAGGGGGCAGATATTAATAACAGAAACAAAACCAAAGCCAATTGCTATGGGATTCGTCAAAGAATCTAGACCTCTTGGAGGGCACCTACCAACATTTTTGTGGAAGTGCTAGTGATTTTTAACAGTTTTATAAAATACCTAACAGAATTTTTTTGCATTTAAAGGATAATAAGATCAACTTTTAAAACACAGTATAGAAAAGGGAATTGCTTTTGAACCACACAGACACATAAAAGTCATTAAGTTGAATAAGTCCTAGGGAAAATGAAAACAGAAGAATTATGAGCAAGAATTTTCAAATATTTATTTACTATGTTTAACATTTATTCATGACATGGAACCCATCAATCAAACTTGTATCGACTAAGTGACAAACACTTCTCTGGATGTTGTTGAAACAAAGATCAATTAGACTCACAGCTTGCCTTAAAGCATCTCACACTCTAAGAGAGAAGGCAAGAAGGTAGAAACTGAATGAATACCTGTGCAGCTTCAGACAGACATACACATGTGACCAATACTGCAGTGCTATTGCTCTCAGCTTGACTAAATTTTAGAAAGTTTTTTTCCCCTGTCTATAGGGGAAAAAAGTATACAGAGTCATTTTCGTCAGCACCACCCCCCCGCCCCGCCCCGATTTCCCTCTTTTTAGAGCATTTACTTTAGATAGTAAATTTTCTTTGTACCTGTGCAATTTAGATGAATCTTCTCCCAGCCTGTAGCCAGTTTTACAATCCAGGAATGTTGCTATCAGGGACCTGGGATACATTCCTTTGCATGGTAATCAAGAAAGATAATGCCAATACAATATTGACGACTATAAATATAATGTATACACCAGATGTCTAGCAACTTCACACTTATTATTTTAAGAAAGTAGATCTAATTTAAATATTCTTATTATAGAATTTTAAAAATGAGAGAGAAAGAAGGAAGGAGGGAAAGGAAAGGGGAAAAGGGAAATAAAAGAAACCAGAGAGGGAAGAGAGAAAGAAATGGGGAAGGGAAGGAGAAGAAAGTTCTAGGATGGCAGGAGCCTACCTTCAATATGCACCAATTAATGCACACAGATGGCCTAATCACATCACCCAACTCCCCGCAAGGCCTCTCAGTTTAACTAGCTACAGTCAGTATTTAAAAACTCTCCTGCTTTTTGTTTCAGAGCAGTTCTGTTTTTCTCCTTTACTGCAATAGTCTAGACTCCAATTGCAACCATCCTGAATAATGCTTTCCTTGCCATTTAAAAAAGGTTGTGTGTTATTTTTCTTTAATATATCAAACTACGGCAAAAGACAAAACCTGTGGGACAATAGATAGAGATCTTTTTTCTTTTTCTTTTTAAAAGACGGGGCACCTGAGCTGGAAGGAAATCATGAAAATTCACCACATTGGATGAAGAAGGGGCAGCAGCACTGCATGGGGCCCTGGGGAATGATCTCATATATCCATTTCTTCATCTGAAAGCTTCCTAACAAGGACAGTATTTTTTTTTTAAAAAAAAAAAAACTAAAATACATACACACTTCATTGCATATCCTCATTTCTTTAATGACATTTTTTTTTTTATTTTCTATCAAGGTCAATAAAAATATTCATACATCCAAGTTTTAAAAGCAAATTTAAAAAATAATTCTATCAGAGCCATCTACTCATCTATTTCTACTTTGATTTTATTGCATTTCAGCACAAATTAGCTTCTATTGAGAAATTTTAAAATGTTGACATGCTTTTTTACTTAATCCTTTGAATCAAAGGAGTGACAGATGACCATTGGCTAAAGGTCAGTTTTGAATCACTGTTATAGGAAACATGCTATTGCTCAAGGTGATCACTCCATCTTAAAATTGTACACACTTATGTGGAAGAAACTAACAAAAGCTCAATTCTTCTCCTTTTCCTTTTGGGGCAGTCCCCATGAGAGCAGCTGTTCTCTTATTAATGCTGTTAAACATTAGGAATAAACCTCTCTGGGATTATACTGAATAAGGTGACGTAGAAGGAAGTTTTTACCAAATAAATGTGCGTAGATTAGAATCTGCAGGTGGTCTAAAACATGCCTATATTGGGATCCAAATTGTTCAGCACTGGAACCTTTTGAAATGAGAACAAAGAGCCTTTCATTGCTTAAATTCTAAATGCAGCTTAGTACTTCATTAGAAACCTCTTAGTTCGCCGTAGGAATCTTTCAGATTTAATTATGAGGTGGGGTAAAAGCCTTCATTCCCTAGGACACCATACTGAAACATTTTATTCTGTGTTTCCTGGGAGATCTCCAAGTTTTGCAAATTGCAGGAGTTATCAATGCACATTAAGTTAGTTCTTTTCTGAAATCTAAGTCAGGCCAAATCAAAGTAACTATTTCAGCCAATATGAATGGTGAAATTAAAATTACTAAAAGCCCAAAGCAACGGAGCTAAAAATGAGAAAAACTGGATTCTTCCTCCTGTTCTATAACCTGGAGATACTGCTTAAATTTCAGAACCTTAGTTTAGCTATATTTAAAATGAGGTAGCTAATTGAAATTCCATTACTCTATGTGGTCAATATTTAGAAATGCTCACATTGCTCAACATTTACCTTTTTTTTTTTTTTTTTTTGGCTGTGAGGAATACTTTAAAGATAGTATTTTGAAAGCTTCAGTGACACTTCACTGGGTGGTGTGTTTTAAATTTTAATGAAAGGTTCCAGTTAAATTTTGAAAGGCATTACAGAATCCACATAATTCTCATTGCTGCTTTAGTAAATTTGATAAAAATGATAAGGTCAGAACACTGACATATCAGAATCTGGATGCCAGTATGATCAACCAGCCCCAGCCCAACAGACAAAATGGAAGGAAACATTTCATTTCAGCACTTGCTACCAAAGCCTAGGTTGATCAGTTGAGTCTCTTATATAATGTCCTTGTCTGGGTCCTTCCATTCCAGATCCCTGGATTATTTTTTTTTGTTTTTAGTGTATCTGAGTTCAAATAGCAACCAGTCAGGGCCCACCGGAGAAAAGCTCTTCCAGAGGCTTAGCTGACAAACACCTTCCAATGTCATTCAGTGGAAAAACTGTCTTATTCTTAATGATACAGCAAGCTACTTGGCTCTTTGAAGAGAAAACTAACACATGGTCATTAAATAAATGAATAAATAACTCATGAATTCAAAGTCTTGCCTCCTGGCTCTGAATCCCAAGGCCAACACAAAATTTCTGATGGAAATCTTTTTATAAGCATCACAGAAATATAATAACTTTTACAGAATACAACTTTTGTTGTTGTATAGAAACAACTTTTCCTTTTACATTCCATTCTGTACAGAAGTTAACAGATAGGATAGGACAAACAATAATCTAGCATAAAGCCAAATTTTCCTCTCTTCTAAATTGATAATGACCTCTTCACCTATGCTGGGTGTGCTGTCAACAGAGGCTTATATACAAAAGGGAAAATTAATCTATACAACATACAGAGGCTCCTTTCTAGATGGTTGAGATGAACTAAGGTAGGCATTATCCTGGCTGTGATAAAAATAGGAGAGAAATAATCAGTATTTTTTTCATTGGTAATATTTTAATCACGTCTTTGAAAAATATTAAGGTTGCACTTTGTCTACCTGGGCAGGTCGACAGAAAAAAACACTGTGTTCTCCTGAAAACAGGGGCAGTATCTGCACGCTGTCATTTTAAAGGTCATGAGTTTTACTAATTATGCTATCAGTCACTACTTTTTGTCTCATGGCAAGAGAAATAAGAAAAATAAATAATTTTTTATATTCATTTAATTTAAGTTGGATTAGACTGGTTGCATGATGCACCCCAAGCCAAGTAGAGCTGTAACTTATTTTCATTGTCATTGCCACTCACCTGGTCCAAAGTCATAGACACCTCACTCAGGAAACTACAATGGTCCTCTAAACAATACCTACTTCTACTTCTCCCACCTCAACCTAAAGAATATTCAGAACATGGTAGCTGATGCAATCTGGCTAAAATGTAAGTTGAGTTCACAAACTCTTCTGTCAAAACCACTGATGATTCACATCTTGGCATAAACACCAGAATCCTTATAGTAACCTACAGAGCCTTACCTTCAATTCTTATACTATGTGGCTTTCTGCTGCCTCTCTTTTCAACTCTGAATTTTATCATTTAATGTTCTTGACTACCCCAGCCAATCCTACTTCAAGAGCTTTGCACATGTTACTTTCTCCTTTGTTTGAAATCCTTCTTTTCATATATATCCCCATGAATTATTCCTTTACTTCTTTTTCTTTTTAAATTCTCTTTCTTACTCATATTTCCCCTGCCCTGGCTATCTACAAATTTTAGAAAAATAAACTTTCTCCACAATATTTCATATGTTCCTATTTTTCCCCTCTAGTATCTATCAGTACCTAACATACTACAAATGTAATGATCTGTGTTGTTAATGTCTGCTGACCCCACTAGAGTGCAAGTCTACAAAGCAAGGATTTGCGTAGCTCTAACTTCAGTACCTGGAAGAATGACTGGCACAGAGTGTTTGCTGAATGAAGGAAGGAATGCTATCTCTTACCTTTTCACAGAACTTTCCCTTGACCAAGCCCAAAAAACTTTGTGGTTGGTCTCCACAGTAACAGAAATGCAATTCATTTCCAAACCATTAAGATATTCTGATGCAAAGGCTTCAACTCTGAATTTTATTTAACTTCATGGCATAGAATATATCTTTGTGTAATGTATACAACCCCGAAGGATTATCAAACCCAGCGGATAATCTCTGGCCTCAAAACGTAATTTTTGTGAAGCATGAAATTCATCTGAACCTCAGTAAGAAAAGAATCCTAGGAAAAACATATTGGAGCTAGATTTTGTAACTTACTTGGAGATTCATTATTTTCACAGGTTTCTTCTTCATTTGTTGCTGCTGCTTCCTCCTCCTCATCTTCTGGGTCATCAGTGTCTCCTGACTCATCGCTATCTTCCACCCATTTTCCTGGCATGAGTCCAGCTGAGTCATAGGAATTGCACAGAGGACCCACAATGTGAGAGATGAAGGATTCCTGAAGATTGGCCAATTGAGGAGCTGACCGATCCATGAAGGGGCTTATGGGCAGCCCAAGGCTGGCTTCCTCATCACCCTAGAAACAGGGATTTAGCATGAATAGCTAGCTAGAAAGGTGAAAGAGAAGAGTCTAAGATACCAAAAAGTGAACATTCCCTTGTCATCTAAAATGTATAGATATGTAAGAGCATGGCTATTCATGCTCAACTGACTTTACTTGATGGCTCAGAGATTCTACCCAAATCTCTAAGATTCAGAGAGCAATTCTTTGTTGTTTCCATTAACTAATTTTGTGATGTTGAGCTTTATCATGGAGAAATGCAAGGAGTGGCTTAATATCTCAGTAGATAATATTTCTTATCACACTAGTCAGGGTCCTTTATAGGAGAATACAAATGCATCTTAAAATGCAATGCTGGGAATGTTACTCTAACAAATATAATCTACCATGTTTTTTCTTTTTGCCTTGGTTACCAGAAAGCTTAAAATAATTTATTGCTAAATTCAAGTTGCTACTTTACCCTAGATTTTGTTTGAATGATATCTTCTGTGATTATGTTTTCTTATTTTGTTTAATAGTATTAAAGTATATGTGTTTTGTTTTGAACAACTTTAGATCTTCTTGGAAAACAATAACAGATCATAAACCACAGGTTACCTAGAAAACCTAAGGAAGAAAATATATCAAAATATCAATAAAGATTATGCCTAAATAATTCAACTATTATAAGTGGATTTTCCTTTTCCTTCACATTTTTGTGCATTTCAATATTTCATGATCAAGAAATAATCCCAATCCCAGAAAAGGCAACATATATTTTTTAAAAAATGAATCATTTTATTCTGTATATGAATAATGCCCATAATACCCATAGTTCATTCTAATCCCTGTTTAAACATGTCCAATGACATATATTTATTACTTTATAAGGTACCTCACCCTTTGATGGGATATCTTTAATTTTGTCTCCGACACTGATCTAAGCTATATCTCCCGATAACTTTTACAGACTGGTAAACACACATTTAAGGCAACAGAGAGGTATCGGACCTTTCTTATGAATCAGATTTGTATTGAGTACTTTTTATAATTTACCATTTTTTAATCTTGACACCAACATTATGATAAATCTACTCCTATATTTGTACAGAGCTTTTAAGACATCTGAAGATAATCACTCCATTACCTCTGTTGCTTCACTGTTCATGCTATTTCATGTCACTGGTTCCTGTCCTTCACCCATGCTCCCTCACCTCCACATTTTCTTAAGTGAGAAATTCATAACAATGGACAAAAAGCTTCAAGCTTAATCTGGTCAATGCAGGGTAACCTGGACAGTATTGCCCCACACTTAGGTTATTATGGGGCCTTTTCTGGTAGTCTATTAACTCTTCTTGTTATATCAAACAGAATGCCAATATTTTAGCTTTTATGCACTGTTGTTATTAACTATATTGGAAAAGTAAATGAACTTAATGTATTATATATTCCTCCATTTAAATTTAAATTAGCTTTTTATTATACTAAATCTACTAAAAAACAGTATTTCAGGGTCTTTCTAATGTTTAATAGGTAATTCAATTATTTCAACATCTTTCCCCCAAACGCCATAAATAACTTTGATTTAGAATTCTATGGGTATAGTTTAGTCTTTTTTATGTGTCAGTTTTAAACTACTATTCAAAACAGGGCAGGTTTTTTTTTTTTTTGCTTGTTTGTTTTTAATAAAAGCATGATATAAAAGTGAGCGATCATACTTCCTAGCAGCCTTTCAGAAGCTTTGGTGAATTAACAAGCAGCCTAAAAGTGTAGGTTCAGATAGATGAAATGGTTCAAGTAGTTACCTGTTCATAAAATTCATTGACAATACCCTCTGTCCACTGAAGATGGAGTTCTTTACATTTGGCTGGTCCATTAATATCAGCCAACTTTATACACATTTGACAAACCAATAGACGATCATTTTCATTAGTCCAATCTATTCCAACATCATCATTCACCTGTTTAAAGGATACAGTTAAAATGATTTACCTCAAGCAAAGCAAAAATTGAACAGGAGGAAATAAAGCAATAGAATACACATATCTTTCTACTATGTAGAGATCAGAATACCAAAAAATTAGGAACTTAGATTTTTTAAATAATGTTATTGGGAATGGGGATATATCTCAAGAATAAGACAATGGCTTCCAGAAATAGTAAAATAATTAATCAAAAAAGTAAAATAATGAACCATGAAATTGATAATAAGTGCTATTTAAAGTCAGCATATTTATTGCCAGTAAAATATTAAAGCTATAAATGATTTAAAAAGTTATCTTGCAGTAATATTTAGGCATTTATATTTGCATGACATTTTTTGTATCAAGTTTTTGACCTATGTTACTGCCATATAATTCATATATAATTATATCATAGAGAGAAGAGCAAGTTAAACAAAAATCACACTTTCAATGTTTTATTTCTCTGTAGAACAAAGTATAATACATCACATAGAGACTTAACTTCCAAGGTAGCTAGATTGAGACTACTACCTTCTATTTCTGCTATGATAAAAATGTTACTGGATTTCATTTTCCCAGTTGATAAGTAAGAATTGACGGAGTTTTGTTCAACAGTTTGTTTCTATGATATCTTTCCCTGTGGCCATAAAATGAAGACTGATACAAATGTAGTTACCTTGGCATTAAATTTGGCTACAAAGTCAAAGTGTTTCTTCAGATCAGTGGCTAAAATTGCTTCGATGACAAGGAAACGGAAGTGCTTGAATTCTACATGGTCAAGGTTAACTAGAAAGTTATACTCTGGCCGGGACATGAAAAGATTCCAAGCTGCAGCTGCATGATGATTCTCCAGAACTGAACGATCATTGTATAGCACCGCCTGGGCAAGAGTAGGAGAGTAAGAGTTCAAGAGATCAGTGGGTAAGTTTAAAAAAGAATCACAAAAATAAAGGAGAATATGCAATGCTTCTGAAATAGCTTTTTTTGTTTGTTTTTCGAGGAAAAGCAAAAAAAAATTGTGTTTTGAGTGCTGGTTATTAAGAATCATTTACTACTGCGTCTTGACTGCTGATTCCTTTTCTTGGTTAAATATGCTTTTCAGTCATATTAAGTTCTTTTCCTTGAAACTTTTGCCCAAATAATCACAAGTGAGGGGTAGTAGCCTATCTTAATAGAGTCAGCATTCCTTAAAATGTTTTTCTTTTTTTAGATTTCTTTGCAGGGCACAGGAATTTATTATATACATATATTTGTAAGTTTAAACAGACACGTATTTTAATACACATACATATATATAAATATACCAATTATCCCTATAAGGTAACTCAGTTACTTTCTGTATCAGGCAACAGAATTATTTCCTCTTAAATATATGCAACTCGTGAAGAGGAATGGAATCCCAGGGATGCCTCAACCCAAAACATTTTTACCCCATAATCAGCCATGGGAAATACCTAGTACTTAAAGATATATAGTAAACATACATCTGCTTGTTTTGGAAATCTCTAATAATGAGAAGTTGCGAGAAAAAAAAAAACAGAAATTGCCTTAAAAAAATGCTTGAACACTACTGTGAGAGACAGTGTATAAAGGGAAGAAACGACATAGAATTGGGAAAGGCTAAGCACATAAATATCCAGGTTAAGGTGAGTAAGACAGACCTGCAGGAAAATCTGAAGAGTAAACCATGCTGGCAAAAGGATTTCCCCATCTTTTTTTTTTTTTTTTTTTTTTTTTTTTGAGAGAGAGAGAGAGAGAGATTGATTGATTTTAATATTTATTTTTTAGTTTTCGGCAGACATAACATCTTTGTTTGTATGTGGTGCTGAGGATCGAACCCAGGCTGCACACATGCTAGGCGAGCGCGCTACCGCTTGAGCCACATCCCCAGCCCCAAGGATTTCCCCATCTTTAGGGAAACTAATTCTGGTGTATGAAGGGTATGCGGAAAGAAGATAAAGTAGGTAGTTGGGGGAAAAACATGGTTGTTCTTATATATAGATTCAAGAAAAATCATGGAATAGTCCAGAAAAACTATTGGGGAAATGGATGAGAGTCGATAAAAGACAAAAGGCAAACAAGGAAACACAGGATTAGACTGGCCTCTAGCTCCTCTTGGAGGCACAGAGGGCCTCAGGATGTTTGGTAACTTGAGTCAATTGTTTATAAATAGAGGGGAAAATGATTGGGTTTAATTGTATAAGTAGAGATGCCTAGATATTTAGTGATTAATTTTTGACTCAAACTTAAACACACCAAGATAACTTTCTCATGCTATTCATTTTTGCAATCTATGCTTAGGTTAAAAAAAAATTCCTTCAAACAAATGGAATAAACTGATCTGAAATTCCTACCAGCCAGTTGATAGGCCTTAAGAATTCACAGTTGTTATCATGAATATATTTCCAAGGACTAAGATTTGTATACAAAGAGGCCTTACATTCTTAAAACTTCAAGAAGATTTGGTTTCTCTAATCTTTTTAGAAAGGGGCATTTGCATAGGTTGCCTTTTGTTGTTGTTGAAGAGGTTCATTAGCATGGATTCAACTAGATTTTTCTTCAGAAGAAGAAAACTAGAAAGGATTCTTATGCATAATAAAGTTATGTACCACCATGAAGACTTTGGAACAAACAATGATTGTGTGTGTGTGTGTGTGTGTGTGTGTGTGTGTGTGAATATCTTGGAACAATGACTTTTTTTTTCAAAATCAGTATGATCTTTAAGAATTTTATCCTATGAATAAGTATAATTTGATTATGTTTACTTGGTGTAAGCCAAATGTATAAAATTAATTTTCTTCAGAGAAATCTCTACACTGGATTAGCTCTCCTAATCAAAATCTAAAGATTTACCTGAGGGGCACTAGTGGCCACCAGGAAAGCATTAGTCCTTCCAGGGTGATCATAATCGTGCATGGCTGCAGCAACATACAGTGCCATGAGCTCTAAGGCAGGAATATTCCCCGACAGACATCCATACTTATCATCTGGCACACTATACATTTTTGAAAATACATATCCCATATGTCCATGTGTAAATCCACTGTCAGAATCTGAGAAGAGAAAATTAAAGTAATAGAAATTTTTAAAACCTATGAAACTGAAAATATTTGTTTTGACTTTCTTATTATAAAACCAAGTGTTCCTATCTGGCACAAGGGAGCGCAGAGGTGCTGGATACATACCTGAATCACTTGCTGATCCGTGATCATTAATCACAGTTGAGAGGCCTGGAATAGGTTGGGTAGTAAGATACCAAACAGCATGTAAGACATCAGTGGCATGGACTCTGTTGTGATCTGTAACCAATGAAAAGGAACTGTCATCGACTGGTGAACTTTTGGGACCAAGGACTAATAGTGCCATCTACTGGATAAACAGCTTGGTCCTAGCTTAACATCCCAGTGAATGCCTTCTATACTCTCTCAAATCTTTTTGATTACTCTTCCACAACTCCCTAGTATGCTTTCTAATAAGAAAAAACAATACTCATTGCATCCAGTATGCATGATATTCAAAATGGAAAAATTTGTATCTAGAGTCTAGCAGAAACCTACTACACGAAACTTACTACAGGAAACATCTGTAGTGTTTTCTTTTCATCCTCTGTGTGAGGCCATGCAGAGGGCCAGAGCAAAAGAAAGAGCCTTGATAGACTTTAAGCAGCAATTCATCTCTGACAAATGGAAACCCAGATTTAATCTGTGAATAG